TATATTATAATATAATATAATCGTTATTTTTAAATTATTATTTTAATAATATTATTATATTCTATATCATAATTATATAATAATAGTTTTTTTGTATTATATTAAATATAATAATAAATATATATTATATTGTAATTATATATATTATATTATAGTATAATATAATCTAGTCGTAATTTTTAACTATCAACAGTAATTCAACCTTATAATTTACCAAACGCTATTACACTGATTTTAAAACCAACATAGCTACTATAATTATAGTTTATCAAATACTCAATTGCTTTTTGTAACAGTTGCTTATTCCTTCAGCACAGCTAAAAGTAATTTTTCTAAAATCTATAGCACTACCAAACTAAGCCTTAGTCATATATGCATCTTATCAATATACAAGATACAATTTTTAAATTAATGTCTTATTCATTTTACTATAGTAAAAAATTCTCAAAAATAATCACATTTAAATTTTTTTATTATAATAAAAAATTTTCACATAAAATTATGATTTTAACTCGAATTAACGAATTCAACAGATCCCTTTATTTCCTGTATTTTAAAAAAAAAAAAATTTAAAATAAGTTTGTTGTGTTAATTATACTGGAACACCCATAAATGGGAGCCAAGTTTAAACTTACGGTGGTTGGACCAACTCCTTCTGCGCCATTTAAGTCTCAAGAGAGTGACCCCTTTTTAAGTACAAGCCTCGAGAGAGTGACTCATGTTGCACAAGTTGTAACTAGTACATGTGACTTTCCTGACTTGTCCATTCAGAATTCTGGTGGGTGTCCCATCCGACTTGATTTTACGGTTATTATCAGGATTTTTATGCTAACGGTACTACTGCACTGCGGGTGTATTTGGAGACTGGACTCAAAGCACCTTAGTTTGGTTCAAATAATATTCTCACTTATAAAATATTTGAATTTAAAAAGTTCTTTACTCTCGTAAAATTTAAATTACAATTTAAGTCACTCAATTTAAGTGGTCATGTGCTACCCAAGCATCAGTCTCTTTCAATACGTACTAGTCATTTAAGGTTAAATAATTATCATTATCTATTTTATGGATTAATTTTACTGGTGTCCTTTAAACTTTGAGATCATTCTCACTTTATCTTCTAAATTTTAAAAACTCTCATTTTATCTCTTGAATTTTAAATTTTATCTCTTGAATTTTAAATTATTCACACTTAACCCTTTTATTGTGATTCCTGTTAAAAGCATGTAGAAAAAAAAGAGTAATGCAGTCACATGGTCTTTTTATTTGAATTTCTGTTAAAAATAAACAGATAAAAACTACATGATCATTATCCCTTTTTTCTATGGCCTCGTTCATTTTACCGATTTGAGTTTTCAGTTTTAAGTTTTTACAGTAAAAAACTCTCAGAAAATGTCATATCTAACTTTTTCTGCTACAGTGAAAAGCTTTCAGAAAATGTCACATCTCAACTCGAATTGAAAACTCGAATCCGCGAAGTGAACGAGGCCTATATGTTTTTAACAAAAATTACAACTGAAGAGATTAAGTAGGAACAATTCAAAAGATAAAGATAAAGTAAGAGTTTTTAGAAGTTTATAGGGTAAACTCAAAGAGCATCGATGTTAATAATCCCTATTTTATTTTGACATCTCAACTCGAATTGAAAACTCGAATCCGCGAAGTGAACGATGCCTATATGTTTTTAACAAAAATTACAACTGAAGAGATTAAGTAGGAACAATTCAAAATTTAAAAGATAAAGTGAGAGTTTTTAGAAGTTTATAGGGTAAACTCAAAGAGCATCGATGTTAATAATCCCTATTTTATTTTATAGTATTTGTGAAGTTCTAGACAAATTGTATTATTATATTTTATTTGAAATTCTAATTGACACCCACATTAACATGTTTTTCCATTCTATTCTATTATTATCACCATTATCATTACCAATCAAATACTACAACCAAACGCACCATGAATTCCTACATATATATGACTAAATTATATCACATATTACTGTTATATATAACTTTTTTAATCATATGGCCAGTCTTTCATTCAACCAAAGTAAATATTGCAATTGTACTTATGGGAGAAGTAACAAGGATGATGATAACTAATAATCTATTACAGAAAACAAAACTGTTAAACCATTGAATCGACCAAAAAACACGGAAGACTTTTTATCATGCACTTTTTTCAATTGTTATGCACATAACTCCTCAAGACATACAAAATCGAGCTCTAAAAATGTCCTAAAAATTACTTTTTGCTCTTCTAAAATGTCCTCTGCCTCCGATAAAGATTCTTCTGTTTAATATGCTTTACAATCCTATTTTCGCATGCCTAAAAAACCTTACTGATCTGATTTTTAGAAGCTTCCGATCTCATAAGATCAGATCACACAAAATACTTTATTATTCTTATGTAAACAAAATAGAAAAGACTAAATCCTACCTGTATGAATATTGTTGGGTACTTTGTTTTGTGCGTTAATCAATCTCATGATCAACCTTTATCACATTAATTTCAATCTTGATTAAAAGGAATAACAAATCATTTTCATTATAATAAATGCCTTTTGACACTAGCATTATTCTGTGACAATATCGTTGTCCTTATCAAATCATAAATGTAAATTGACAAAAACTCAAACAAAACCGTTAGCTTTTCTTCTTCCTCTTCTTCTAAAAAGTTAATTTTGTAGATCTACCCAATTTTGGTCCACCACACCCCTTCAATATATATACTACAGTACAGTACATGGATATTAATTATTATATATCATTATGTTTAACTTGTATTTCCTTGAAGGATTTTTAAAGGCCCTGCTGGTGCCCCTCCTTATCAAGTTTCAAGTCTTTCAAGGAATCCTAAGAAAAATTAATTACAATAGAATTGATCATTTAGTTTCTGCTCAGAAAGCTTTTATACCAGAAAGCATGTTTCATTTATACAATTTTTGGCCAAAAAAAAAAAAAAAAAGGTGTTTAATGGTAAATGAGGTTTTTGCGACAATCCCATCAGATATCCATAAATGCCAGCCATAACTGCAGCAATTAATTTGGCCACCACACATTTCTTTATCATCATCAAAAGGAAATCCACCAAGTATATATATATATATATATGTATATATATATAGGAGTGGATATATATATATATATAGGAGTGGATATATATATATATATATAGGAGTGGTTAAATGTAATGTGTACAACTATGAAGGCAGTCATTCTTTTGACGTATAATATTTAATGCTTTTAAAACGCTCTTCAGACTTGCTACTCCAACCACAGCTTGCCACGTAACTCGTTTTGTTTGCTTTTTATCCGGTTTTTTTTTTTTTTTTCATTTTCCTTATTTTTTTTTAACTCGAAAAATCAATTTTTAGTGAATTTTGGGAAAAAGAAGGCTTCTAATTAAAGTAAATCAAAACGGGTGATGAGTTCTTGACACGTCTACATGACATATATATGTGCACACAAAAGATGTGCCATGTAAACCGAGTTTTGGGGCTTTTGTGGCAAAACATAATAGCTTGACTACCAAGCCTAAGCATATACAATAGTCCTATAAATTGAAGGACCTTCTCTACAACAGTTCAACTTTTCAATTTAAACAGATAGAGAGAAAGAAAGAGAGACCCCCACCCAAAAAAAAAAAAAAAAAAAAAAAAAATCTCAAAGATTTAACGATGGAGATAGGAAGTAATTGTGATAATGAGGCTCAAATCCCAATTCTTCATTTTCCAAAGGAGATTGTGGGATTATTGGAGCAAGGGAGAAGTAGTAGTATTTGTAGTAGTAATAGTGAGAAATGGAAAGGAATGAGTGGGAAAATGAGAGAGGCGTGTGAGAATTACGGTTGTTTTATTTTGAAGTGTGAGGAAATCCCCATGATCATGAGTACTAGTGCTTTACGTGAACAAATGTTCATGGCATCAAAGGCTTTGTTTGATCTCCCTGAAGAGACCAAGCAGAAGCACACCAGCTCCAAGCCCTACCGGAGCTACACCGGCAACTGCCCCGTGATCCCGCTAAGCGAAAGCTTCGGGATCGACGTCAACGGTTCTAGCTTCGACACCGTTACGGCCTTCACTAACCTCATGTGGCCCCAAGGAAACAAGGGTTTCTGGTAAAGTTCTGCCACCTTGCTATATATATATATAGATATATATATATATATGTTTCTACATGATCTCCTCTTCTGTTTTTCCATTCTAAAAACTAATATCAATTTTTTAGCTGTTGGATTTCCCATATGACTAGGTAATTAATTAACCTAATTCCTCTTTTAGTTATGGTGAAGGCGAGATTCAACTTTGGTAGATCACCAGCTTTATGATTCCCCTATCTTATTTCTTCAAATTAATTAAAAACTATTTCATTGCTTGTTAGCAAGTAATATGAAACACTTTTAAATTGTCTCCTACTCTCCTTGGGCTCATAATTTTTTTTTTTTAAATTTATGTTTTCAGCCACCTTTTTCGTTTCCTGAAAATACTCGGATCTAATAATAACTGAAATTATTTAATAACAAATTAACAAACATGATATTCTTAAAAAGAAAATAGAAATAATTAACTCGGCTTTATCAACGAATTAGATCATCACGATGAGGTCTTTTTAATTTGTAATCTGTTTAATATTGGCTAGCAAAGAGGGATCTTGAAGAGCAGCTTTCTAGTTTCTTTTCCATAATTTCAAGTTAATTTTTTGTTCTCAAATAATTTGAAGGAAGAATTAGCTAAAACAATTAATGTCTACCAAATCACCGTCACTACGACCTTTTCTTTTTCTTTTATTTTTTTTTAGTATCGTTACTATATGAACGCCTATAACAAAAGCGATACAATTTTGCTCTTTTATGACATCATATAGAAAAACAGAAAAATCTATATTTAGACAATGATATAATGGCTGCTACCAAACAACCTCACTACCTGCCAAAGCCTCATAAAGTTGAGCCCCCTAACTTTCTCACTCCTAGAGGACGTTTGGTTGGAGGATTCAAATCATGTGATTCGAATTATTTTTTATTTACGTGAATTTTTTGTGAGAGAAAATACTGTAGCGAACCATGAATTATGATTCGAATCAGGAAACGAATCCCTCTACCAAACATCCTCTTATATAAGTTCATATTCAGGGGTTGTTCTTTTGTATTTTTGAGTTAGGATAATTAGAGTGATAATTTTGAGTTATAATTTGAGTTGAAGTTGTAATTTGAGTTTGTATTTAGATGTGCACATTTGAGTTATGATTTGAATTGAGAATCTATTTGAGTTTGTGTTTGGGTAGGTCAAAACTTAAATTTGTATTTAGATAATATTTTAATAAAAACTCAATGGTGATGAAAAATTTTAATAGGGTATATGAGTGAGATTTTATTCGTTTTTTCGTTGTGAATGCATAGAAAAAAATCATCTCAATCAGAATTAAAACGAAAAAGTTATGACACTTTTAAGAATAGAAAAAATATTATTCATTAACTTGAGTTCGAGTTTATGAACTCGAGTTGAAGAGAAAACTTAAACTCGAGTTTAGTCTAAAATTCAAGTTCAAACTTAAATTTTATAAAAAAATATGAATTTAAATAAAGTTGTAATTCGAATTTAAATTTTTTCTGAGTTTCGTTACGAAGAATAAGCCCTCAAAACGTAACGGTTTCACTTATATCGATTGCTTTAACTTTTTCTTGGCGTTTTGTAGATTAACGGTCGACAAACTAAAACGACACCTTCACAAAAGTCTTCAAAGAAACGTCATAGACATATATTTAATGTGTGTACATATATATGCGTGTTTTGCATGATGTTTCGTTTTTTTTTAGAAAAAAAAAAGAAAAAATAATTATTACATGAAAATGTCACATTGATATTATTAAAAATGAAATGAAAAAAAAAAAAATCACTGTTCTATTATACTTATTACCAGTGAGAGTGTGAGCTACATGGGGAAGAAGATGTTGGAACTGTGTTTCATAATCCTGAGAATGATGTTGGAGAGTTTGGGCATGGAAAAGCACTATGACTCCCACGTGGAGAGCACGAGCAGCGTTTTGCGACTGATGAAGTACCGAGTTGGACCGGCCAACGGCGACTCAGCCCAACTCGGCCTGGTGGCTCACACCGACAAGAGTGCCCTCACCATTCTATGCCAAAACGAAGTGCAAGGTCTTGAGCTTCTCACCAAACAAGGCACTTGGCTTCAACTCAAAATCCCCGAGGCATCTTTCGTGGTCTTTGTTGGTGATGCACTTAAGGTAAGGAACAATGCTAATTAAATGTATGTCTAACTGAGGAAAATTACCCTTTCAATTTAATAAAATGTTACATAAAAACCCTCGAATCGAGAATGATATTAACGTTTGAAAGGAAACGTCCTCTCATACACGTGACATGACGCGCTCCAATTGTTATTTGAAATTTCAATCCCTTAAGTTAAATCAAACAAAGTGTACAGGAATTTAATTTCCAATTTAAATTTTAACGATCATAGATGATTTGAGGTCAATTCATAGAATAATTTTGTCAACCCTATAAAAAGCATGGGCAAATGTGTCAAAATAAAGCATGTAAGCACTAACTTGTCTATTATGTTATGACTACTAAAGTTAATTAATGCAAAATTATATCCAGAACAATTTTAATTTGAATGTTATCTACCGAATATTATATAGTTTCTTGTAACAAAAATTTAGAATGATATTGATATGTATATATAGGCGTGGAGCAATGGGAGACTTCATGCAGCAACGCACAGGGTGATCATGAAAGGGGATAAAGAGAGGTATAGTTGTGGGCTATTCTTAGTGCCAAAGGAGGAAGCAACAATTGAAGTGCCACAAGAATTGATCGACAAGGAACACCCTTTACTTTATCGTCCCTTCAAATTCTCAGATTATTTCTCCTACTTTGTCTCCAACACTAGTGATGATGCGCTTGAAATCTATGCTGGCCTATGATATGATCTTGATGATCATCATATTTGATTGTGATATATATATATATATATATATATGTTCCACAACATGTGCATTGCTATGATTTATTTAATATACATACACATATGGTTTAGTTTGATCCCCTTGTAGTATATTACTCCGCTCAAATATCTTGAAACAAGAAAATATCTATATTAATAGATATAACAAATTAATTAGATTTGTGAACAAAAAAGAAAAATAATGGAAAGAGATTGTGCATGAGAAAGTAACAATACATGAGGCACAACTTGCTTTGTGCTTTGGATACAGGCTTTAGGAAAAAGAAATGGGGTAGACTCCTTTAAATTTGTTGTTGATGATGATGATGAGAGGGTCTGAAACTGAAAGTGTTGTCTCTGCGTATTATTGATCATGTAAGTGAGTCACTCCAAACACCATATTTTACTATAAATTGAGATGCCAAAACTGATGTTGGCCTTGCCATAAATTGGCAATACTGTTTGATCTTTGCAAGTTCTTCTGCTGCTTTTTAAGGCTCTTTGCTGAAAATGATACTAAATTAGCTGCTAAACAAATATCCCTGATTCCTCTTTTTGTTTTCTGTTTGATTGGAAGCCCTTTAACTTTCAAACTAACAATATGCCAGGAATATTAAGGGTCAATTGGGTATTTTTGCAGCTTTAAAAATGAGCACTGCAGTTGTGCTGAAGATAAAAGATAACCCTCCTTTGCTAGCTTTTCAGAACCATATGGCAAACAATTGTATTCTTGAAAAAAGTTCCTTTTTAGTGGATTTACTAAAGAATGTAAATATATATATATATGATTTTAGGTCCCTTAAAAAATGATTTTAGGCAAAACTTACAGTTCTTCACAAATGAACATATGAGAATAATACGATATTTACTATATATAACAATGACTTTATAAAAATATAATAACTAAAAATCTTGTCAAAAGAGTGGGGAATCCATTTCCAATATTATTGACTCTAAACAAAACAAAAACATCAAAACACAAAATCTTATCAAAGGAGTTTGTTTTTGTCTCGGCAGATTTGTGTCTTGACAGTCTGTTGATCCTGTTGAACTTTTATCTATGCGGTGTGTGTGATTGCTTTTGTGCTACAAGTTGTGGCTCTCGATCAATTAGAGGCTTGTGTTGATTGTAGAGGTATTTTTAAAAAGAGCATTATGCGAGTTCGATTATAGGTGTACCAAGGAGCTTTTATGTTATTGGGTATTGGTGTACGTCTTCTTCTTTGAGCGTTATTTAATTGCACTATTGGAACTGATCTTCATTGAGGGTCGTATCTCATGTATTGTAGGTTCATTTATATTGCTATAAGTGTGTAATTTACTTAAGTTTGAATGCAAATTCCCTTTTTCTTTTTTTTTTTTGTTTGAAAAAAAATCTTGTCAAAGGCTTATGGTAAATAAACATGATATTATTTACACTCCTCATTTTACACATGATGGTGTAACATGTATGATAGTTGTTTATAAAAAGTAAAACTAAGTGCAATTTTAAAAAGAGCTAATTACGATTCAAGATCTTTTGCTTTATTTCTCTGTCTTAATAACTGTCTCTCTAATTAAAATTTAACACCTCGTAAATTATTTAAATATTTTTAATATTTGATTTTATTTATATGATTAAATCCTTAAATTAAGATGATATTATTTATAATGGAGGGACAACAGACAACTCTTGTCACAGAGAGTGGGGCCGTCCCACAAGGCATTGAACAAGTTTCTGAGCTTAAAACCAACTGAAAGGCATTAAAAGCTTACCAATTCTCAACGACATCCCATGTAGGAAATAAGCACCAATCACGTCATGTATTGTTGTCCTTGAAGATTTTGGACATCATGCCCAATGCCCATACAGACGTACCGTGAAAATTCTAATTTATAGCGAGAAACCGATCATATGTAATACATTCTTTATCGCTTTGCATCCTTTTCTCTCATCGATTTCCTTCCCTCTCATAAACGACAAGACTAATAGCTCCACTAATTGTCTAATTCATTATTGGCTTGTCTCGCTTTAAAGGCCACAATGGTTGCAGGCTTTCCTAACTACCAACTTTTGAACTTTTTTAGTGCATCATAAATCATAATCATAATATATATATATATATATAATATAGTTTGCTTATAAAATATATTTAGAGCAGAACTTTTTAAATTTTAATTAAATTCTAATTAAAATAGTTATTTTAGTTAATAATTTTTTAGTGAGTCACTTTAATAATACTATTTATTTTAACTAAATACATATCATTTTAATATTTTTTTGAGTTTAAAATATAAATATTTTTTTAACTTTTACTTTATGTCAAAATAAATAATAAAATAATAAAAAGAATAAATAGCTAACCAGTTCTTGCTAGCTGTATTTAGTTAGTGAAAAATATTTTAGTCAAAATAGCTAAGGATTGGAGTACAGAAAAATTAAAAAGAAAAAACCTAAATCATTAGCAATTAAAATGAAATAAAATAAAACAACACAATAAATAAAATTTTACAAAATATTCTAACAATAAATATCAAGTTTCTAAAATGTGAGTGAGGCATGTGTCTCACTCATGGTAACTCGGCTCTACAACTTTGAACATATGTCACTTAATTTAATTTTTTGTTCATGTGAAATGATTAAACCTACAAATTAAAATTATAAACTTAGAAATGATTTTTTATTAAATGAATATAAGTGTAATTTTAATTATTAAATACGACAACAATTGTATTCTAATGAAATAGAATAGCAAATCCTTACAAATAAAATGAAATGAAATGAAATAAAACAAAACAATAAATAAAATTTTACAAAATATTCTAACAATAAATATCAAGTTTCTAAAATGTGAGTGAGGCATGTGTCTCACTCATGTTAACTCGGCTCTACAACTTTGAACATATGTCACTTAATTTAATTTATTGTTCATGTGAAATGTTATGATTAGAACATCATCCTTTGTAATGAGGTTTAAGTATATGGCTGAATTGTAAAAATATTATTCACACTCATTTATTATACTCAACAAGGAGAAATATTTTCTTCTTGTCAATGTCATAATTATTCTGTTTTACACAAGTTCCTTTTACATTACATGTATTCAAAAATACTTATTGTTTTCATGCAATTACTCATTTCACGTCCAAACAATCTCTAAAATACAGATATCACAAACTTTCTTCTGCATGCATTTCGCACGTTCTTCAAAACCAACATTCTGGTTAATTGAGGCTAGTTCAAAATGTAAAAGTTGTTATGAGTTCAAGTATCATAAAGAGCCCATCAAAAAACGTTTTGATAGATGTGTAAAGAGCCCCAAACGGAATATCAGGCTTGTTGGCCCAATAGGATCGTCTTCTTCGACGACTACGGACCCAAAAAGCCCACACTCCAAACAGAAAGAAAACTCGCTCTGGAACCGAGTCAAGAAACGAGATGGCCGAGTTTCCGTGTCAACCCGAGTCAACCAATCGCCGTCTTCAGTCGATTCTCGATCTGCTCTCATCGGCCGGTTACGCCGACGCCCACAAACCCGATATAACAGCTCCGGAAAAACTCGCCGGAGGGCTCGCTTGGTGCGTTGCGGCTCTCAACTCTCCCAATTCCCAAATTGACGTTGTCGTTTCCAGCGAAACCCTACCACACGAGGACAACAAGTACGCAACTCGTTTCTCTCTCTCTCTCTCTCTCTCTCTCTCTCTTCATCTTCTCTCTCCTAGTGCGTCGATGAGACGATCGTCGTTTCCAATGACTGCGTATGTCTGTGCAACGATGGTAGGAAGGAAATCGAAGAGGCTCTGAGGTCGTTGAAATGCCCGCACTCTCTTGAAGCCTCCCAAATTCGAAACCTTGATTGCGAGAGCATATTTCCTGTTGTGCAATGGCTTCTTGAACGTGTCCGAGACGGCAAAGATGAGGTTTTGCTCTGTTTCTTGCTTGTATAATCTCACTGTGATACTATATATTCAGCTCTGTTATTAACTCTGGATTTGTGTGTGTGTGTGTGCAGAATCAGAGGAAGGTCGGTGTTGTGAGCCAATTGCAGCAGCTGCGAGAGCGAATTTCCATGGAAGGTGCTGAGACTAAAGTGCAAAAGTTTGCATCACTTATGCAATCACTGAAGGTAGGGTTTTTTCTTCTCCTTTCTTCTTTATTCTGCGTCTGATTTGATATCAATTCCATGTTTTCTCCTCATAGTTGCAATGTACGTTGGTATATGTTAAGAATAATTAGAAATTTTGAATTGTTCTTGCGGAAATATAGAAAATAGGCCAATATGAAAAACTTAAGGAAGTATGTAGGTCAACTTTTAGTTATAGAAATTAATAGGCCATAACTTGTCAAGTTATGGTTCATAACCAGATAAGTTATGGACAAACTTGTCAAGTTATAGTTCATAGCCAGACAAGTTATGGACAAAAAACATAATTTATGGGCAATAACTTGTTAAGTTATGGTTCATAACCAGACAAGTTATGGACAAAAACAGTAATTTAGCCTATTTATTAACTTATATAAACTATTGGCCTATTAATTTTAATTCATCTCAAGTCTTGACCTATTTCCCTCTTTCTCAAAGAAGAAGATATTATATCAGTTCAAGGATTTGCCCACTGAGTCACTGAATATGTAGTTCATTGTCTTGGACCAAATGTGTTTGATGAAGAAGTGTTGATCTCTTAGAATTCCTTTTTTTTTTTGTTGTGAATGCGCACTCGAATCGAGTATTGTTGATGCTGTTCATTCGTCATATCGAATAGTGTTTGCCCACAAGCGTACAGTGTCAAGTTTTGACAGTATAGGGTGAGTTAGTATCGTCTCCGCAGAGATTGAGTGTTAAATTGCTGCTGAGTACCAAGATTATCATAACTCAATTTTATTTAAGCAACCGAATTCAATGAAATAAAAATAGAACTAGAACAAATAAAAATACAAAAACAAAATAAAATATAGAAACTTCTATGTACAAATGTATTAGGGACTTGACTTCACCTTATTATTTCTATGTTAATCCTATCAAACTATTGCTAGCCAATTCCACTCAATTCATTAATCAAGAGACATAATCTAACCTCGTTATCTCTCTTGAGCGTCAAACGAAATCATATGCATGAATACCCGAATAAATATTCCTTTCTAACCCGTCTACTCATACACTTATTAAGGGTTCGTTTGGTACGAGGGTTCAAACCAGTGTGATTCTAGTTTTGATTTTTGAACCAAAACCATGATTCATGATTTTTGGTCCAAATTATGGTTCTGAAACCAGAATCATGGGTTTGAACCACCTAAAATTAAGGGGGTGGGTGATTTTAGAATTACAAGTAATTCATGGTTTAAAACATCACATCAGGATTCAAACCTTGAATCAGAATTATCCAAACCAAACACTGATTCTGAGTGAGTCAAATCAGAACCACTTTTTACTTTTTTGTAAACAAACACTGGTTTGAACCCAGAATCATGTTTCCGGGTTCAGAATCCTTATACCAAACAGCCACTAAGTTTAACCCTTAAATTGAAAATCAAATGCCGTTCGCCTCCCGCCCTTACAACATCGAAATCCTAGTTGATAATCAAGGTCTTGATCACCTCCCGGTCTCATAATATCATACTCTCAACGAGATTACCTAAGTGTCAATCTCCTCCCGGACTCACAACAACCTAGATTATGTTTACCAATTCCGGACTATGAAATCAATCTCCCCCGAGCATCAAAATCACAATCTAAAATTATCTAACTCATTGGCCACATAAATTAGAAATATTAAGCATAGAGAAACATTAATAAATTAAGATAGAATTTAATTAGCAATTGACAAGATAATCAAACATGGTTCAAATAAAGCTACATCAAGCCTTAGAATATGAAATCTAGCTCAACATAGAGGAATGCATAACCAAAATCACAAATTTAAGAATAAAGACTAAAAAAACTACAATAAAAAGGGAGAAGGAAGAGAAAACTCTTATGGAGATGAGCTTCAAGTCTTCAAATCTTCAAGAATCTCTCCCAAGCATTCTTCAAGAATCTGCAACTCCAAGCTTCTCTCTTTAGAAATTTTTGTGCCTATCCTCCTCTCCAAGTTGGGAATTAGGGTTTCTCTTGCTTAAATATGCCAAAAATTGGAGACTAACTCCATCTAAACTTATCCAAGGGTCAAAAATGGCCAACCATAATGATCAAGGGCCAAAAAAACACCAAAAACCTCGTTTCAGCATAGGAGGGGCGCGCTCGTGCGCCTAGCCTATTGTGAGTGCGCTGCTGGCGCGCGCCAGCCCCTGCCCAGGGCTGCTCTTGGGCGTTTTTCGCCCCATTTCGTGCAGCTGTTTGTGTGGGTCCTTGCCCTCATCCGTGGCTCATCTAGATAGCTTCCAAAACTCAAATTTTTTTCTTGTTTTCACCTAATTTCTCATTTATTAATGATTCCTACAAAAACACACAAAAACACATCAAACTAACAAAAATGCTTGAAAACTCACAAATATTTGAACTCAAAGTTACTTGATTTGTCAGTAAATAACCTCCTCATCAAATACCCCCAAACTCAAACATTTACTTGTCCTCAAGCAAAATAGAAATGAAGGAGAACATGAACAAATTGATGAACTAGTTGATGTATTTCTCATAAACTGTACAACCTATTTATAGATTACAAAACAGTCTACCTAGGAGCTATTTATGATAACACAATATTTAGCACTAATTACAAATAAAGGCCTAATATACAAGAATTTCCAGCTTGCATTGACTCTGGAAATCATGGAACAAATTCCCTTAAAACTAGAGTCAACGAATCCTTAAAGATTCGTCAACACCCCTCGTCAAGCTGGTGAGTGGATGTTTTCCATTCCTAGTTTGTGGACGATGCTTTGAAATGCAGTGACAGATAGACCCTTGGTTAAGATGTCTGCCAGTTGTCTGTTTGTAGGAATGTAGGGAGTGCAAATTAGACCACTTTCTAGCTTTTCCTTGATGAAATGTCGGTCGATTTCCAAGTGCTTAGTTCGGTCATGCTGCACCGGATTATGAGCAATACTGATGGCAGACTTGTTATCACAGTATAGCTTGATTGTTCTTTCCCACTTGATCCCTAAATCACTTAGGACAATTTTAATCCAAAGTAACTCACATATACCTTGAGCCATTGCTCTGAATTCAGCCTCTGCACTTGATCTAGAGACTATAGTTTGCTTCTTGCTCCTCCAAGTTATCAGGTTTCCTCCTAGGAAAGTGCAGTAACCTGTGGTAGATCTTCTATCGATGATTGATCCTGCCCAATCTGTATCTGTGTATGCTTCTAAATCGAGTCTGTCATTTCTCTTGAATAAAATTCTTTTTCCTGGAGTGCCCTTCGAGTACTGCAAAGTCTTGTACGCAGCTTTCAGGTGAGCTTCTCGTGGAGCATGCATAAACTGATTTAGAATACTTACAACATAAGTAATGTCTGGCCTGGTATGTGACAAATAGATAAGTTTACCAATCAATCTTTGGTATCTTCCTCTGTCCACTTTTGGACTTTCAACGGCTTCTCCCAACTTGTGAGTGTAGTCAATGAGAACTTCAGATGGTCTGCATCCGAGCATGCCAGTTTCTTTGAGTAAATCCAGGATATATTTTTGCTGAGAGAGGAAAATGTTACAACCGAGCTTGGGAGGAATAGATACGAACGGATGTATGCTAGAGGAGCTCGAAACGTTTTCGGTTGGGGAAAGGAGGTGAGTGCGAGAGAAGGTTGCTAAGCTGGCCTAGACGGTTAGACTTCTAGGGAATAGTGCCTAGAGAGTAGGGACGTTACAAAGGAGTGAGGGGAGGAGATAGCCGTTTATCATCTTTTTAGAATAATTCTTACTATTGTATTGGCTGGCCAAGCTGAGCTCGTGGATTTCTAGTGACGATTAATCAAATGGATCCTTTGGTTGAGGTTCCTTCGGTAATCTAGCTGTGGTGTTGGTCTGTGTTGCTTGTGTGTGTGTGTAATTGTGCTACAGGTACCCAGTGATCCAACAATTTGGTATCAGAGCCTACGATCTGGGAGAGGAGAGAATGACATTTGGTATCTTCCTCTGTCCACTTTTGGACTTTCAACGGCTTCTCCCAACTTGTGAGTGTAGTCAATGAGAACTTCAGATGGTCTGCATCCGAGCATGCCAGTTTCTTTGAGTAAATCCAGGATATATTTTTGCTGAGAGAGGAAAATGTTACAACCGAGCTTGGGAGGAATAGATACGAACGGATGTATGCTAGAGGAGCTCGAAACGTTTTCGGTTGGGGAAAGGAGGTGAGTGCGAGAGAAGGTTGCTAAGCTGGCCTAGACGGTTAGACTTCTAGGGAATAGTGCCTAGAGAGTAGGGACGTTACAAAGGAGTGAGGGGAGGAGATAGCCGTTTATCATCTTTTTAGAATAATTCTTACTATTGTATTGGCTGGCCAAGCTGAGCTCGTGGATTTCTAGTGACGATTAATCAAATGGATCCTTTGGTTGAGGTTCCTTCGGTAATCTAGCTGTGGTGTTGGTCTGTGTTGCTTATGTGTGTGTGTAATTGTGCTGCAGGTACCCAGTGATCCAACAATTTGGTATCAGAGCCTACGATCTGGGAGAGGAGAGAATGACGAAGGGTGGAACTTGTGGTGATCGCGTGGAGGAATTAGAGAAGAAGTTGGATGAATTGACCGAGAAACTGACGGGGTTAGATCGATTAGAGGAGTGCCTCAAGGGCTTACCTCAGCTGGTGGCTAATCTTGTCAAGGAGAGTGTAGAGAACTTCAGTCGGGAACTGCCGGATTCCTTGCCCAAGGAACGGGGAAAGGAAGTAGTCGCCGCTCCTGCTGCAGGAACGGAGGAGGCCACCACGGGAGCAAGACAGAGCGAGCCGTGGGATCTGACGGCCACCGGTGTTCCTCCTGGCCGACGGCCGCACTATATGGTGCGAACGGATGGATTGCGACCACGAGGGGCAACACCTGAAGTAGAGCCACCACCGACTTGGGCAGGAGGCCGATATAACCATGAAAGAAGGCGCGGCCCCGAGCGCTGGGAAGGTGGTGGTGATCGACGACGGTTCGGAGAGGAAATTCCGCCGTGGGCTGGAGGCGAGCCCCCCAACCCGTTTCCTCCCCGA